CCACACACACACAGAAGAGATAACAAAATTATAAATAATTTGCAAACAATCTTCAAAGGCAAACTGGCAAGCTTAAATAATACATTTAGAAGGTACAGTAGAAGTATATGGACATTGTGCACATCACTTGAGCGATATAGGAAGAAGCAACCAAACGAAATAGTTATTTAAGGCGATGAGAATTTCTGTGTCGAATTTTCTTTCACAAATTTATAAGTATGTACCATAATTTTCAGTTTATATTTAATATTTTCCTTTAATAGTAACGGAATGAACATATTTTTTCCCGTGCGTTTCGAATAAATGCGTAAACATTTGGAATAATATTCGCGGGTATCATGTAGCATATTTAGACATTATACAAGCTAAGGTAATCAAAATACGAACTCCAATAATATGTTAACGTGCACCACAATATTATAATGTACTACATCAAAACACATGCATGTGCACATTGGTGACAAACGTTCATTCTAAATGGTTATAATGTTGCAACAAGAAGACGTTTTCACGAAAACTTCTCCACGTACGGACGTCTTTCATAGACTATGGTCAGTTTGACTGTTGGCAGAAATCACATGACACATAACTTCATTTGGTCTCACACGCCGTAAGCCAAAGGTTTCAATCCATCTCGCTTTTTTTGGCCAATAGTACCTGATTCCGTTCGTTCGTGACATAGAAGACGGGTTCCCAGGCTTCGAAGGCAGGATGGATCGGACGCCGCTCGTAAGGGGGTGGCCGAAGGTTCCAGATGACACTGACAACAAGAACACAAACACTGCGAAATCAGGAAAAAACGATGGAGGCAAGAACGGAGTAGGATAAGCGTATGAAGATACACAGTGAAGTAACTCTTTCTGAAGATTGTGTAAGTCAATGCATCTTAACGTCAAAACTTCGTAAGTATCTCGGTTGTTTAAAAGTCACCGTACACCTAAGAGGAAGGAAGTCTTCGAAGGGTAATTTGTTTAGTAAAATTCAAAAGCAGCGGGTTTTGCATTCAATCGTTTTTTCGGTATCCAAAGGACTTAACAAAACATGAATTCTGGCTAACCACGAGTTAAAGGAAATAATTTCATTATACTAGGAAATGATTTAATCACTTTTTCGTTTTTAGAGCGGCACAGTAAGAGTTTTTCTATCGAATGTTCCCGTTTCCGTGCACGTTTAAATGCTTTAACATTCAGAAGGGGGAGAAAGGAAATTTTGTGTTAAATT